ATGTCTGCAGCTTTCTGACAGTTCATAAAAAGACAGAATTAGGTGTATACATCTACAGGCATTTTTTAAAAATAAGCTTATTGAGATATGATTTACACACCATAAAGTTCACCCATTTAAAGTAATTCAGTGGGGGCCGGCCCGATGGCGCACTGCTACAGTGCGCTGCTTGGGAGTGCGGTGGCGCTCCCGCCGAGGGTTCAGATCCCACGTACAGACCGGGTCCCGCTCACTGGCTGAGCGAGGTGCGGGAGCAACACCGAGGGTTGCGATCCCGTTGCCGGTCCCGGTCCGGTACAGGCGCAACACTGAGGGTTGTGATCCGTTGCCGGACACGAAAAAAGACAAAAAGGGGAAATAAATAAATAAATAAAGTAATTCAGTGATTTTCAGTATACTCACAAAGTTGTGCATCAGTCACCACCATTTAATTCTAGAACATTTTCATAACCCCAAAAAGAAACCCCATACCTATTAGCAGTCATTCTCTATGCATTTTTTAAAAATTAGAAATTCGACTCCCTTTGTAACAGGGTTTGAGAGGCTAAGTCAACACTGTAGTGTTTTGACTGCAAAAAAAAAAAGACTGAAAAAGAAGGAAAAAGATTTCAAATTATTAACTGCAGTTATTTCTGGGTGTTGGAATTACCAGTGATTTTAATTTTCTTATTTACATACTTCTATATTTTTATAATTTTATACAATAATCTCATATTACTTATGCAAATAAAGGTTATTTTTAAACAACAAAAAAAGATTTAGGAGGAATTAAGGGGCCACGAGAATTCCAAAATATATAAATTGCCAAGCTCACGGAATGTCCCTTGTAGATCATGTGGTTTCCCAACTCTTCAAACCACTATTATCAAAGGTCTAACAGGTGGCAAAGGAGCCATACACTGCTCATTTCTACTATGCAACGCCCACTGGCTCTAACACAGAGGAACAGGTTCAGCTTGTTCAGCAAACATTCACTGAGTGTCTACTTCTGAACGCCTGGCTGGCCCTACCCCAGGTGCTGCGTCTGCCCTGTGAGCTCCAGCTAACAGACCAGCAAGGAGACTGTAAAATAAAGTCTTGATCACCACAATAGAGAGTACGGCATTCACCAAGGAAAGGCAGGACTGGTTAAATCTGCTCAACTGGCCCCACGGCAGCCTTCCAGGAGAAAACACTCAGGCTCTTCTTCTATGATAGAGAGCTGGTACAGGAAAAGACTAATCAGGAATCATAATAACACTATTTGAATAAGTATGGGGGTAGGCCTAAGGAAAGGAGTTAGGGAAGGCCACACAGGAGGAGACCTGCCTGGGGACAAAGAGATCTGGGCTTCAGCCAGGCTTCTTAGAAAGCTAAAACACTGACCTTTGTGCTATCTACGTATCAATAAACCCCATTAACTCCACACCCAATTAATAGAGGCACCAACTCTCCTTATGTATACAGAATTTTCTCCGCTTCTAGATTGTACATTCCTGGACAGAGAAAATTAAGTCATCCTTCATTAAGTAAAGCACCAAATACAAAACAGGCACCCCCCAAAATGTTAGTTTCCATCTTCTCCACTCCCCTCCCCCAAGGTCTGGCACAAAGGCATTCAGTTAACATTTGTTGAATCAATCAACTATTTACAGGTACTGAAAAATAATGCTGCATTCCACCTACTTTGACTTGCATCAACCAAGAATTTACATTAATGATAACTTAGATTTGCAAAGTTTTGTTTTTTTTTTTTTTGCAAAGGGCTTTTCAAAGCCTCCTCATCTATTATCTCATTTGATCCTCACAGTAGTACCAGAAATTAGCCTGAATAAGTATTTATTTATTCATTCTCCTTTTCAAGATGAGGATTCTTGGGCCAGAGAAGTTGAACTAATTTGTCCAAGATTACAAAGGTAATATTGGAGCAAGCCAAGATCAATGATTTTCTGACTTCTGGGCAAGTACATCTCCCTGTTAAGTCTGGCATTTCTCACTACTTCTCACTATGCACAAAAATAAACTGCAGCTAAGGTAAAGACATAAACTCAAGATATACAACTATAAGAATACCAGAAGGTAGTATGGGAAAATATTTTAATAATCTTGAAGTAGCATGTCACAAAAACCCAAAAGCCACAGGCAGATTTGACAGTGTCAAACTTTCTAAATTCTGAAAAAACAAAGACATCATTAAAGTGGTTAAAACTAAGTCACAGCTTTACTTTTTCCACTCGATGTTTTTCATTCTCCGTGCAATTATTCTTTTCCACGTAATTTTTTTTTTTTTTTCCTGGTTGGCTGGTGCAGGGACCTGAACCTTAGGTGTTATAATACCACACTCTAATCAACTGAGCAAACCAGCCAGCTGACGCTTCCCCTGTAAATTTGAAAATCAGGTTAAGTCCCATGCAAAGTCTTGTTTTAATTAGAATTTAACTTAATCTATTGCAAAAATTGATGTCTCTACAATCTTCTTTCTGTTCATAGACAAGGTAAAACTCTTCATTTAATCAAGCCTTTTGTCTTTCACTAAAATAGTATGGTTTTCTTAATATATGATTTGCAGCTTCCTGTTAAATTTTCTTCTAGAAATGTAAGAATATTCTTATCATGAGGCTGGCTGGTTAGCTCAGTTGGTTAGAGCGATGTTATAACACCAAGGTCAAGGGTTCAGATCCCCATACCAGCCAGCCAGGGTGGGGAAAAAATTATTGTGAATGAGACTATTTTTTCTATGACATTTTGCTAAGTTCACTAGTTTTTATATATTGTCAATCGTTTCTCTTTGTAAATGAATATATAATATGAAAATAATAACACTTTGGGGTGGCCAAAAACGCTAGAAGAATATTAGATTTAATGGTAAATATTCTTGACTTTTTGATAGGAACGTTTCAAATATTTTCCATAAAGCATGACTTTTTGCTCTCAAAAAAGATTTGAAAGATAAATGAAAAACAAAGAGAAAATATATGAAATGCAGATGACGAAGAACAGTTAATCTCCATAACACAGAGAGAATTTCTACCAATCAATAAAAACAGGCGAATGATCTAATTTTTTTAATGGGCAAAGGATACAAACAGGCAGTTCACAAAACCAAAGTGGTCAAAAAGCAATAAGAGGGCCGGCCCGTGGCTCACTCGGGAGAGTGCGGTGCTGATAACACCAAGGTCCCGGGTTCGGATCCCACATAGGGATGGCCGGTTCGCTCATTGGCTGAGCGTGGTGCTGACAACACCAAGTCAAGGGTTAAGATCCCCTTACCGGTCATCTTTAAAAAAAAAAAAAAAAAAAAAAAAGCAATAAGAGATGCTTAACTTCACTATTAATGATATACAAATTAAAACAAAATACTAATTTTCGCCTATCAAATCGGCAACTGTATAAAAAATTCATAGCATCCATTATCGCTAAGGTTGTAGGAATTGGGGACATTCGCACATAGTTCTGAGTGAGCATGTGAACGAGCATGTAAGATGTTACAAACTAGAAATTCAGTTTCACAGAATCCATTAAAATTTAAAATGCACATATCCTATCTACAAATACATCTATAAATACCAAAGGATAACTATATTAGGATGTTCGTTATGGTATTGTTAATTAAGCAAAAACAAACAAAAAAACTGGAATTAACCTAAATGTTTATCAAGATGGAACTGGACAAATTAAAGTACAAACACAAATTGGAATACTATGTAACAATTTTTACAATATGAACGGACTTAGATGTCTAAAATACACTGTGCTCGGGCCTGCCCGGTGGCGCACTGGAGAGTGCGCCGCCGCGGGCGCTTCCGCCAAGGGTTCGGATCCCATGTGGAGACCGGTTCCCACTCACTGGCTGAGCGTGATGCAGGCGCAACACCGAGGGTTGTGATCCCGTTACCGGTCCCGGTACAGGCGCGACACCGAGGGTTGCGATCCCGTACCGGTCAGTAAAAAAAAAGACAAAAAGGAAAAAAAAAAATACACTGTGCTCAATAAATAAGAAAAAAATTTTGTGCAAACACATAAAAGTCTGGAAGTACATATACCAAACTGGTACGAATGGCTACGTTCAGGAGCATGGGACAGTAGAGGGGGCGACTAAACAGTAGAGGGGGCGACTAAACGTTTTTTGCCTTTTATACTTTTGTATTGTGTGAATTTGTAAAAATAAGTATGAGCACTCACTTGGGAGAGCATGGTGCAAATAACACCAAGGTCAAGGGTTCGAATCCCCTTACTGGCCAGCCGCCAAAGATAAATAAATGAGCTAATTTTTCTAAAAACTAAAAACTTATTTCTGGTGACGTTTCTCTCTCTCTTTCTCCATTTTATCTCAATTTTAGGATGATCCTAAGAGCACAAGGAACTTGCTTTCACTGGCCCAAAACGTTGAGAGGCAGGGGTTTCGACTTCTGCAGGGTCGTGAGCAGTAGGGCCTCGAGCTACTCAGTGAACGCCGCTGACAGAACGCTCATTTTCAGGCTGTGGTTCAGTGTACAAGGTATAAGAGTGCAAAGAAAATTAACTCCTCTCCCAGGTAGCCCCAAAATCTGCACATCTGGGCCCGACGGAAAGGTCAGGGAAAGACAACCTCGGCCGAGTTACGTGAAAAGGACGGGCACGAACTGTTCTGGCTCTACTTGGGGCTCTAGGCTCAGAAGCGATGAGGAAAACGTCCACGAGGAAGGGAGAGTGATGGCGTTTTTCTAAGTAGTCTTAACCAGCTCACTCAGCAAACCCTCTTGACCACCACCCAGAGCAAAATTACTTCAGGGACCCAATCCTTGCCATCAGTCAAGATGGCGGCAGCGGCGCGCCCACGCCACGGCACACGCGCCGTACCTCGGCGCTCCCTCCTCTGGTCCTTCTGCGCGCGGCACCGCCCTCTCCGCAGCTACACCCCTCCCCGCGTCCGCAGCGTCACCCCCTCCCGGGCTGCCCCCGCCTCTCCAGGCTCCCGAGCCCGGAAGTGGATGTTGCTGTTCGGTGGCGAAGACGAGGGGGAGGGGGAAGTGCTTCCGGGGAAACGGGCTCCGGGTTGGTGTTTGTAAACTTGCCTCGGTCCCGGTGGGGGCAGCGGGGGGAGCGGCGGCCGCAGGGTTGGCACGGTGCGCTGGGGCCTGGAGGAGGCGCCGCGCGGCTGGGGAGACAGAGGGAGGCCGCCCCTGGCAGGTAAGAGCACTCCCCAGGGAGCGCAGCGTTGTCGGGCAGACGGCAGCGCTTCTGCAGCTCGCAGGCCGTGGGGCGCCGCGCGAGAAGGAGGAGGGGAAGGGAGGAGGGGCGCGCGGCGAAGGGAGGGGGTTAGCCGGGGGAAGAGAAGGGCCGCGCGCACACACCGCGCCCCGCCCGCGCGTCCCGCCGCGTCCCCGTCCCGGGAGAGGGGGGCTTGCTTGGAGGGGACGCGGGCGCGAGCACGCACCTCGCGCGCTGCTGGGCGGTCTCCGGCCCTCTCCTCCCGGTTCGTGCCGCGGGGGCAGCGGCTGGCTGGCTGGCTGGCTGACCGGAGGGGACGTGCCGCGCCCTGCTTCGGCTGCCTACCCTCTACCTCCGCAGCGAGTTTACGTACCTTCGGGAGGACTCGGAGAACGCGCACGTGTGGGCACTGCCAGTTTGTTTTCCGCCCGTCACCCTAGCGCCCGGCGACGGCCCCCAAGCTGTCTTCCACCCCAGTTCTGGCCGCCTCTGTAGAATGCGAGCTTTGCGGGCCGGCCCACTCAGCACAAAAGCCCGGAAGGGCCTCCGCCTCCTTCTTCCATTTCTAAAATGACAAATCCAAGCAGTTGCTGGGTTGGCAGAGTTCGTCCATAGGAGGCCCCAGTTACTTTTGCTGCTGTTGGCTGTCCCTCCTTGCTGAGGATACCAGTTTACTACTGACCTAGAAAAAGAACGCTTCTTGACTCATGTCCTCTTTGTGAGCTTCCCAGAGAGCGCCCAGCAAAAAAGTTCAGCACATCACACGTTCTATGGTCTGAAGATGTTGCACTTAAAGGCTCTGTCTCCCTTTCTGGTTTCAGGTTTCTGAAACAGATCGTGAGCTTCATCCAGAGAATTCAACTGGAAAACCAAGACTGGCAGACTCTTTTTCTGCAGACAGTAGGCAGAAGCCAAGCAGAGGCTAGGGATTCTTGGAATCTTATCTTCCCTTCGGAGGACACTAAGTTCTATTTGAAGACAAAGTTCAATATGGCAGCAGGACTGAAGGGACACGAAGGAGTCATTACGGTGACTTGGTGACAGTTCTTCAAACGACAGTGTCATAAGGAAAGGTGGATCAAGGAACTCCTGAACTTTTGAGTTGCATTAAGTGAGAAATCAGCATGGCTCAGGTAAAATGCTCTAGAGTCCTCCTTCAAGATCACTGGGAAGCCTGTTTGCAGTTTCATTCTTGAATGCTGCCTTAGTCAACATATTGACCAACCCCAGTGAGCCAAGCTCTGTATTGAGCACCAGGGGGAGATCTAGAGGAAGGAAAGGAGACAGGCCACAGCTCCTGCCTTCAGGGAGCTTCCAATCAAATGAAGGAGGTAGGCTATGCTGCATCACAGGCGCTGATGGGACATTTGCAAAGCAACATGTACTTAGTTTACATTTTGTACATTAAGTGCTGAGGGGCATAAGGGAGTGAATAGTCTGGTGAATGCTTCATTTGTTTTTTTCCAGCAGGCATTTACTGAGTCTCTGTTACATGTAAGGCATTGTGTGCTAAGAATACAAAGATGAATGAGATTGTCCTTGTCCCCAGCAAGCTTCCAGGCTAGTTGGTGGGGGGTGGGGGGTGAGGAAAAACAGTTTGTTATTTATTTTTATATTCACAATGCCTTGCATAGTGGCTGGCTAGTAGTAGAGGCTCTGAATCCGTTGATTGAAGGAATGTGCAATAACAGAGGTATGTACACTGCAGAGAAAAGAATGATACTTCTACCTGGATGAAAGAAGAAGATGAAGCTTGAAGGATGCATAGGATTTTGCTAAATAAACACGCAGAAAAGGGCATTCATACAAGGGGAACTTCGTGGATGGGGCTTAGAGGCATGGGAATGTGACGAGGTTTGGTGTACTGCAGTAGTCTGTAGTTATGGAGCAAAGGATTTAAGTGAAGATAGTTAGGGAGATAGGATAGATAGTTATGAGTAGGGGAGTTGATTCATGGAGAAGCAAGCAGAGCATATGCCAAGGGCCTTTTATGCCTTGCTAGGGATGATACTTTATTCTGTAGGGGATGAGAATGTTAAACAGCAGAGTAACATGGTGTATTTAGAAGGTAATTGTCATTGTGGAGGGTAGAGTATGGATTGGACAGACAGGATGACCAGATAGTCTATTATAGTCATCTGGATAGGAAAGATATGTGCACCATCCCCCGAGCTGCTCCCAGCTTTCTTCTAGGGAACTTCCCCTTCCAGTCTCACCAGGATGGCAGCCTGATTATAGTATAATTGGCTTCCTTCCAGCTGCTTCTGCATGCACAACTTCCTCCTTTCCATGCAGAGTAGGAGCCCTTCAGTTTTCCTTCCTTTGTCTGTTTGCAACTCTCTTTTCAGCGTCGTGTTCACTCTTGTTCTGAAAAGGCTGCCTTTCACTAAGCACTACCTTTGTGCTGGACACTGCTAAGCATTTTACATTTTAGTGTAATTCTCATCAACTCTGTGAGAATAGGCACTATGACAGACATTTTGCACTTAAGGAAACTGAGGCTTTGAAAGGTGGAGTAACTTGCCCACAATTACACTGTGCAAACAGCAAAGCTAAGATTTTTAACTCCAGACCTTTCGCTCCAAAGTCTCTGAACGTGGAAGAAGTGGTTCCAGGATCTACTGATCATCCAAAGGAGTTTCTTTATAAATTTGGGACCGATGGGCCGGCCCGGTGGCGCACTGCTACAGTGCGCCGCTTGGGAGCGTGGTGGCGCTCCCGCCGAGGGTTCGGATCCCACATACAGACCAGTTCCCACTCACTGGCTGAGTGAGGTGTGGGCGCAGCACCGAGGGTTGCGATCCCGTTGCCGGTCCCGGTCCGGTACGGGCGCAACACTGAGGGTTGCGATCCGTTGCCGGACATGAAAAAAGATAAAAAGGAAAAAAAATAAAAAAATAAATTTGGGACCGACTATTTCTCAAAAGTTTTCCTTCAGCATGATAAGTATATTCTCTAGTGCCAACTAAACAAAGTCAGTTTGAAGAATGTAGCAGTGAAAAGAGGAAATTTGCTGAAACATCCTTTGTTTAAGGAATTTTTTAACTGTATGTGGAGCAGGGAATGTGTAAAACGTGGACATATATGCACGCATATAAATGGCCTAAAGGGTCAAGAAAAATTGTGTATTCAACTCCAAAATCCTTCCAAGTAGTTTAATTTTTATATCTGCTGTAAGGGACAATACTTAGGTTATTTTTCCCTTTAGATTTTAAGTTTCCCCAATTTTACTGATAAACATATTTGTTTATCAGTAAAACAAACTGATAGACTATTATTAGCATTATCGAGGTCTGCCAATCATAAGTGGGTGCTAAAGCTGAGGGCTATTGAGAGAGGAAGGTCCCTAAGAATTTCCCACAATCAGTGGGTCAGCAGGACAAACCCTTGTGCCCATTCACCATAAAGGCCTAAAAATACCTACAAAGTAACTTGTAGCCACACACAAACACGGCACCTAGCACAGTGCTAATGACAAAAGTGTCGGTAATACTTGATTATTCACTTGATCTACATTTAACTGCGGAGGGACAACAAAATAAGTAACTAGTTTCTGGTGAGATGAGTTATGGAGGACTCTTGAAGGAAGCAAGGTTTTATAGTGAGGAGGGACATTCCTTGGAGAGAAGAAGGTTGTTTGTAGCTGTGTATAAAAGATAGTTCTAGGGCCGGCCCGGTGGCGCACTGCTACAGTGCGCTGCTTGGGAGCGCGGCGGCGCTCCCGCCTAGGGTTCGGATCCCACATACAGACTGGCTGCTCAACTGGCTGAGCGAGGTGCGGGCGCAACACCGAGGGTTGCGATCCCATTGCTGGTCCCAGTCCGGTACGGGCGCGACACTGAGGGTTGCGATCCGTTGCCGGTCACGAAAAAAAGACAAAAAGGAAAAAGATAGTTCTATAGAGGATGGCAGACTGTTTTTGCCCTGTCCCTGCCAGGTGACCTGACACCTCATCTCCTTTCAACTTAGGCAAGTCTCCTGGCTTGTGAAGGCCTAGCAGGTGTGAGTTTGGTTCCCACTGCAGCCAGCAAGAAGATGATGCTGAGCCAGATTGCCAGCAAGCAGGCCGAGAATGGCGAGCGGGCGGGTAGCCCTGATGTGCTGAGGTGCTCGAGTCAGGTACAGCTTGAGTCCATTGTGGCATCTGGGGGTTGGGTGGCCCAAGCTCTCTGCCAGAAGACACAAAACTTTGATTCCTCTATGCTTCCATTTAGGGAAATGGGGAAAGGGGCCCCAGCTGGTGAATAAATGAATATGGGTATTTTAGAGAGCTAAGGAAGGTCTTTTCTGTACCTACAACCCCTTAAGACCAGGGTACCTGGAGAGGAAACAGGTGAGTACTTTCTCTAAACCGTTGGGAGAGGTGGTTTAGTCTCGTGTATTTATCTGAAAGCAGCATTTCGTCTTGAGTCTTTTGTTCTGAGATGGACTGTGAGTTTAGATTTGATTTGTCTTCAAAGGGCCACCGAAAAGACAGTGATAAGTCCCGGAGCCGCAAAGATGATGACAGCTTGGCTGAGGCCTCTCATTCAAAAAAGACTGTTAAAAAGGCAGGTAATGGGGTAATCCCCCAAACTGGTACAGTTTGGTAAGGGAGTAATCTTCCTCTTTCTTCTCACTATCACTTAACCTGGAGCTTTCCCTAGATGCTTTGGTTCCTCATAACCAGTGAGTGTGTCCCCCTGATTTCATCCAGAGACCACTTTGATAGTTGATCTACACCCTCTCTGGGACATCTGTGGTATAGGTCAGGGAGCATGAGATAACGTGGCAGGGTGGCAGGCAGACTCCAGCTCAGGTCATACTCAGAGTGTTGGGTTTGACAAGGCAGACAACTTACCCACTCCACCTCCTTCTCCAGAGGGTCTCTTAACTCTAAAGAATATGGGAGATGACAGCACCTTTAGACAGCATCAGAGAAGTTTCTTTGTTCAGCAGCTGGAAGTTTACCCTGAATAGAATGGCCTGATGACATGCCTGATTGTTGTTCCCAGGTGGTGGTAGTAGAACAAAATGGTTCTTTTCAAGTAAAGATTCCCAAAAATTTTATTTGTGAACACTGCTATGGAGCCTTTAGGAGCAGTTACCACCTCAAGAGGCACATCCTTATTCACACCGGTAAGTCTCTTTCTTGTATTCAGAGGGGATGAATAGTCTGTAGCTTGTATTCTGTGTGTGTCTGTAGCTGTACTTGGGTTTATCTTAAAGGGGAAATATTGGAAATGGAAGAAGACATGAATGAGGTAGAGAGATTGCATGGCTGTGTGTCTAGTGTCAATGAGACGAGCAGTTCAGGGGACTCCTCCACATTTATGATAGCTTAGGTGTCTATACTTTACTAAGAGTCAAAGTTTCTAGGAAAAATAACTGAAAAGATTAAAAAATATATGATTTTCAAATTAAAAAAACAAAGAAAGAAGATAACTGTGATATACCTCCCTACCATAATCACCTCCTGATATTCACTACTCTCTCCACCTGGGCCAGGTGAGAAGCCATTTGAGTGTGATATATGTGATATGCGCTTCATCCAGAAGTACCATCTGGAACGCCACAAGCGTGTGCACAGTGGTGAAAAGCCTTACCAGTGTGAACGGTGTCATCAGGTAAGGCTCACATGTCATCCATCCCCACTAAAGCCCCACACACAAACATTTCCTCCTACAAGAACCAGGGCCAGCCCCCACTGCTTCCTGACGAAGAGGTCACAGAGCATTCCTTGCCATGATAGGGCTAACAACACTTCAAGGTGAAATGCATCTCTGGCCATGTGCATCCGATGATGGGGAGGAACTGTTAGAATGTTGTAAGAATAATGGCATTTCTTGATCACTTACTCTGTGCCAGGTACTATGACAGCATACTTCATATAGGTTATTTTCTTTTTTTTTTTTTTTTTTTTTTTTTTTTTTT